GTAGATTGAGGGATATACTGTTTCAAAACAATTAACCACTAGGATTAGTAGACAATTACATATAAACTGTCGTTAACAAGATTAGGGGAGTTTACTATCTGGCGCGAGACAATTCTATCCGATTCCTGATTTTGCCGTCCTGCCAGCTTGTGAAAAAGTTGGCTGAACTGCTGAGAAAATGGAACATAAAACAATGTATAAAGAGAAATTAACTCTTTCTTCAATGGTTCCTCGTTTAGAGAATATTCAGACCATCTTTCCAGATAGAGCTGCTACAAGGTTTTATGCTCATGTGGTAAGGTCCATGTGGGGAGAGTTTCAGAAGAGGCTATGCGGATACAAAACGCATGTAAAGGTCTGTGGTTCCAAAACTCTGAGCTCACTGAATACATTGCCAATACAGGAGATACAAGTGACTGGTCCGAAAAACAACGTTTTGCGGGTTATGGGGACACTTCCCATGACATGAGCATTGCATATACACAATACACAATACACAATAGCACAAGGCCAATCATGATTCAACATTATAGCATCTTACGCCAGTTTTGTGTGTATTGAAACAGCTGCCGCCGAACGCACTTCCGGTTTGAGAAGTAACTTCACTCATTTGCAAGCATGTTGAGCAAGGTTGAAGTAGCCAACCAAATCATGGGAGACCTCATTAAGATCGCGATGTTAGTTGCATAACAAAGTGAATAGGGTTGCAGCCGGCCACTTTCTTCTCTTGGTTTAATCTATTTTTGCTCTATTCCGTAAAGTATGGAATCTTACGCTGACGATGTCTGTCACGGCGGTACAGACGAAAGCTTAGCTCAGTTTCATCAGATTCGCAGGACGGTGAGCCGAGGGCCTCTTGAGCACAATTCAGCAGTCTTCCTTACGCGATATTCATCCTTCGGTTTCCTATGAGACCACATCACGAATCCTTCCAACCAACTTTCCCTCCGAAATAGAGAGTCATGCCACAACATAGAGATATTTGTGAAGTATAGAAATTCTGCCTCATTAATTCCACTTAAGCGTCGTTTGAAGTGTGGTGCTTAAAGAATACACCTTAAGATTAGGGCTCACCAAGCTAATAGACTCCATACTCCAAATAACTGTGATCCCGAAGCGGGGCTCAGACTTATGTTCTGTCGGTTCGGAAGTAATGCTGATTTCATTGGCCTTCTCTGCACCTCGACTTTAACCATAAAATCTACGGATTTAAACAAAATTGTCCGGCCTACGAAACGAGTTCCCAACATATAAGGCGACTTGTGTATTGGATGCAACTACCTATTAAAGAGCTTTGTCTCTTGTTATCATCAGAAGACGACAGTGACTCCTGCTGCTTTGCATCCCTTCGATACTGCCATCCTTTATTTCCCAAACATCGGGTATGCCTTGGTGCAGATATCATCAGGGCTGCGTACCAGTCCTACAAAAACCTTAAGCCAGGATCAAGTCGAGCAGAGCAACTAGCGCTTGCCTACGTGCATACACGCAAAAATGTGTCATAGAATGATTTTATTAGTAATTTTCCAACTACAGTAAAGTACCTTTCTCGTGAGTAAGTTGGTTTTTGAGAATGTCAATAGATCATTTTTATATGAAGTGTATTCACCCCATTTAGTTTAAGGTGATGAAGGACTGGTAGCAGAATTTTCTTACAATGATATGAGTAGAGTTGACGTTTTCATTGAATTTAACATAGCCTTGCTTTGTATTTTCCATAGCAATCATCTAGGTTACTTATGATCCGTTTATAAGTAGGTTTTCAAGACTACCAGTAAATCATTTATTTATAAAGCAAGACAATGTGAACTTCAAAGCAAATTTAAGGGCTATTTAGAGCATTGTAGGAAAAATTCAACTATCTTTTCACTTATCACTTTAAACGAAATAGGCTGAATACACTTCATATATAAAAGCTCTACTGGTACTCTCGAAAACCTATTTATAAACTAATCATAAGTAACGTAGTCGATTTCTATAGCAAGTACAATTATGCTTCATTGGCAATCCCGTCTCAGAATGTGATATCGGGTAATGTGAGACTGGCATTTTGCTTTTACCTCACTGAAATGAGTATACCTCATATTTCCATTGAATTGAACATAGTCTCGCTTCCCAAAAGGTAGTATCCTCCAGGCATCATCAGCATCACCAGTGGGGTTTTCACCCGGGCTATGGTGGGGCAGCGTATGCTCTCTATAGGCTAGCAACTAAGCCATATTGCCACGAGTGCTCTTGGGTCACAGGGCAGATGTGAATTTCAAGCAAACCTGGACCTTTCCCATTTCCCACTTCTGTGGTGGGGTTGTTGCGGAATAAAAGTCATGTTTGCCGCCCAACTCTTATATCACATCTACCGACCATCTCGAACGCATACTTATAAGCTGAAAATAAGTAATATAGTTGATTGCTACAGCAAATATAAATTTGCTTCGTTGACACTCCCACGTCATAACTGTGGTAATAGAATGTCCTAGGCTTGCTTGAAATTCACTTCTTCCTTGTGGCCCAAGGACATTCGTGACAGTGTGGCGTAGTGATTAGCGTTTCGAGACTATGCGCTCTACTACCACAATCCAGATTCTAGTCCCTCTTGGGAGGGTGGGGAAACCCGACGGTCTGTATGAAAACACTTTATAGAAAGTGACGGGAGGTGAACATTTAATGGAAACATAATGCGTACTCATATGATTGTGGATAGGGCAAGTAGAGCTAATATTTCGAAACCTGTTGAGGGTATCAGTCCACGTGAAGCCTCGGTATGCCATTTTAAGCAAGCTCTAGAATGTTCCCCCATAGTTATGAATGTGGCTGGGGAAGATGATTAAATACGGTCTCTAAGGCATATCTTACCAGTTTGTAGAAGTGAGGCACTACTAGGAGAATCTAGTCTCCCCAGAATCCAGGCTGTATTCTGCCTTGAGCGGTCGGGGTCAGATGCCCTTTTTCTCCGCCTCCTGAGATTGCTTTGCAGTGCCGCTGGTTTGCTCTGGCTTTCGAGAAGATACGGCTCTTGAGTTGCTAGGACAGTGGGAGCACTTGGCGTGGCAACTGATGATAGGCAGGCAAGTCGGCACTTCTCCTGCGTGTCGAACAGACCCTTTGGAAGCGAGTGGTCAGGTTGTAGACCGAGTCCCGGCCACACGGCGGTCTCGCGATCGCTCATCTCTACCGCCTCCCTGCGATTCCTGGACTCGGGCCCTGACAAGATTGCCGGCACCAGCTTCATTCTCGAGACGGATTCAGGCATCGTCTGGGAAATGGAGTCGTCCAGGAGAGCAGGCATCCCATCCAGGCAGATGGACACCTGGACTGAGTCACAGAACCCGACCGGAGCACTCGGCACGAACTGGTAGAAGATCTCTTGAATGATGCCGAAGGCATCACAGTGTCGGGCGACTGCAGAGTTGATGAGAGCCACCGTCTCCGGTGCAAGATAGGGACAGGGGTCTTGGGATTGGGGCGGTGGGGTCGCAGGCGCCAAAACTGGAGACGAGGAAGTTTCAGGCACTTGGCTGTCTGGAGCTTTTAGGCAAGGGGAGAATGTAAGAAAATGGCAGAGTGAAAAACGTCCCAGTCATGGTACAATTTTTTCTTTATACCATTTCTTCACATCTTCACGAGACAACGGAGGCTGCCCAACAAGTGGACCTGATGAGAGGGATTTTTATTTGGAAATAAAAGTTGTTCTACTTTGTTTACACAACTTGGTCGGAGTGACAAGCAGGCCTGGTAAACTGTACCCGGTCCTGCGTCCTTTGTCATAGTGGACCGTTTACTTAGTACGTTTACAGACGTAGTGGCGAAGAATGGTACTAAGCTCAGAGAACGCTTTTCATTTAATAAGGCAAGGCTTAACTCAAGTTCGATAGGTTCCAATTCTTGAATAAGAGCTTAGTCATTGTTGGGGAGACTTCCATTTTGCATCAAATTGCATGAGGATGAG